TTATTTTAGGGAAAGCTGAAGCTAAGCAAAATTAGTGTCTCAAGGGTGAAGGAAACATGCATTTGGAGACTATAATATTACCTATCAATGCAGTCCATTCTGGGTATCCATAGAATCCAGTCTAGTCTTTTCTTTCTATACTATGCTAATTTTCTGCTCCATGAATGCTAGATAATTTGATTGCTGTATTTCTTTAGTGTCTGGCAAAGGAAAAGTTACTTGAAAGTTTTGTTAGGGTTTTCTCTGTAATAAGTTTTGGCCAGAAGTATCTTATTATGGAAGAGGAGAATATACTATAAGCACTGATATCCAGGGTATGAGTTAAATAATTCTTCAGAGTTGCCTGTCTTTTCCCTCTCTTTTCTATGAGTTATGTCAAGGAGTTGAAAGGGCGAACTTTCTCAATTTTTAGTTTTAGACCAGTTTTGTCATTTTGTCTTTGCATCCTACATCTGAAGGGGACAGGGCTAAGTTTTTCTAGTTGTTTGATGCAGATTATTAAATATTCCTGCTTGAGTAAGCTGATGTGTTAAACTTTTTTTTTCCCCCACTTCTTGAGGCATTATTCATCTCTTTATCATTAAATAAATTGAACTTTTGGGTCTTTTGGTTTTGTCATTACTTAGACTTTTGGATGCAGAAGTTTATCAGTGAGAGGAGAGATAACCCAGAGAGAATTTTTTTTTAGTTCCCCAACCAGGGTAAAACCCAAGCCCCCTGCAGTGGAAGTGCAGACCACCAGAGAAATCCCAAGACCTCTGACTGCTCTACATGAGACACTTAAAGCTGTTGTTTTGTTACTGAGTTCATGCTTGTACTGCTTGTCACAGGACAGGCCAATAAATCGAGAGACAAGTTGTTGAGGCAGGGAATAGTGACTTTATTTGGAAAGCCAGCGGACTGAGAAGATGGTGGACTATTGTTCCAAAGAACTGTCTTACCCAAGTTAGAATTTAGGCTTCTTTTATACTAGAAGGGGAGAAGGGATGTGGTTGGTTGTTACAAACTTCTTGGGGTCAGAATCCTTTGTTCTTGGATCTGTCTTCATAGGTCAGGTTATATTGTTTCTGTGTACCTCCAACATGACAAATGTTTTTCCATTCTGTAGCCTTTTAAATCTCTAAGTGTGTACCTGCAACATGACGAATGTTTTTTCGTTCTGTAGCCTTTTAAATCTCTATGTGATGGAAAAGTGTTACACCTTAAAAGTCAGAACCTTGGAAATGGGCTATTCTTTATATTTCAGGCTATAGGCAGCATTCTTAACTTGTAGCAAAAGCAATAGAATACAAAGGTTAACGTAAAGAAACAGATCCAGTATGGAGTCAGATTTGTTCTTCCCTATTACAGTTTTTCTGGAGAAATCACATACTAGTCTATATGGAATCTGAAGTGTAGATATCTCTTTCTGAGAGATGTTCCAAATAACTATTTTACTTTTTCCCCTCAGAAAAACTCTTGGATGCTGGGCCCAAAAGAACCAAGAATTTGAGAGGCATCGACTAAATCTAGAAAAATGTAAGCAGTCAAAGTTGGCAAAGCAGATGGGGGAGTGGGTATCAAAGTAAACACATCGGAAGAAACAGGGTTCTTCCTCTTCTCATGCACTCTGAATCTAACCACAGAGCTCCATCACCTCTGTCACTTCCATGAGATTCTATAACTTTCCTTGCTTTCTTTATTTTAAAGATATTTATTTATTTATTTAGCTGCACTGGGTCTTAGTTGCGGTGAGTGGATTCTCGTTCCCTGGCCAGGGGTCAAACCCGGGCCCCCTGCATTGGGACACAAAGTGTCAGCCCCTGGACCATCAGGGGAGTCCCTGCCTGCTTTAAAAATACACTTGCCGGGGACTTCCCTGGTAGTCCGGTAGCTGAGACTCTGCAGTCCCAATGCAGGGGCCTGGGCTCCATCCCTGCCTGGGAACGAGAGCCCACACGCTGCGAGCAACTAAGCTCTTGAGCCACAGGCAGCAAGTCCGTGGGCCCAACAACAAGTCCTGCAGGCGGCAAGCAGGACCCGACACAGCCTAACAATGAAAACATATATATATATATATATATATAGAAAATAGAATTTATTTAATTGGATCCTTCTTTATCTTCCTTCTGATACTGTCTACTTTTAGAATGGCAAAAAGGGGTTAAATTTTAGGGTATATGAAGATCTTCCTTTTTAAAAAATCTACTTCAGTTTCTTAAAGTAGCAGGACATTAGAGAAACAGGAGCCGGGATGTCTTGTCTAATGTGCTTTGTTTCTGTATTATTTTGTTTCTTTTTTTCCCCCTAGAGATAAGAGATATTCCACCAATTTCAGGAGATTGGAGTTATGAAAAGAAGTTTCAAATAATCAGATTGTTTGCTTCTGGAAGATAGAGAAAAGAAATTGGGATGGATGATTCCTAAAATTTCTTATTCAGTATTTCCACGTATATAGTTCGGCCTATCTAGTCCTAGTATGATCTTTCGAATGTAACTAAAATACTGGCTTTTGGAAATGTTCACGTCAGATCACAAAATCTGGGCTACATGATGCCCAGAGGGCTACGCACTGGGAGACCCAGTGACCACTCTAAACGGAGCTCGCACCTGCTGCTTTGCGCCAGGTGTGCCTCCTACCTTCCGAAGGGCGTTATGTGAATTGCCTTGTTTCACCTCATTACAGGTTTAGGAAGTAGAGACTGTTTACTTACTGTCTTTTACAGATGCGCTAAGTGAGGTCCAGACGTGTGAGGTAATTCTCCCAATGTCACCAGCCTGTGAATGAGAGGGCTGAACCAGAACTTAGATTTGACCCTAAAGGCTAATGAAGGAGCTGTTATCTCCATTTTGGAAATGAGTGCATCACAGATGTTAAGTAACTTGGCCTAGAGATAAATAGCAGTAACTAACAGTGGTGTCAGGATCTGAATGCATGTCTGCTTTTCTCTAAAACGTATGGTTTTAACTATCTTAAATTCTAAGATACCGTTGAGCATTAAGAAATGCAGTAGGGGAGAACACAGCACATTGAGAATATTAGGATTTTTAAGAAATTAGGTTGAGCGCTATTACAAACCTCACTATATTTGTTTATCTCTGCTGGGTCTTAGTTGTCGCACACAGAATCTTTTTAGTTGCAGCATGAGGATTGTGCACTAATTACTATATAGAGCTGAAGTGAAGTGAAGTGCAGGTCACTCAGTCGTGTCCGACTCTTTTCGACCCCCGCTTCACTTCAACTGCCTATAGTAATTAGTTCCCTGACCAGGGATTGAACCCAGGGCCCCTGCATTGGGGATGCAGCATCTTAGCCTCTGAAAGATAAGCCCCATTATAAACCAGGCCATAAAGACTAAGGTTCTGTGCCACATTGCTCCACTAAGGAAGAAGGACCGAAACAGCGGCGATAACTGGCATAGAGTGAATGAGAACCTCCGAGGGCAGGAAAGGGACTTAAAAAAAACTATGGTGTCTGTGGGAGACGCCTGTATTGATTTATTGAGTGCATTTGGCTGCTGTGCTTCCAGTCTCAGTTGCAATTCCCACATGGAGGCTGTTCCCACCCTTCCTGTGTCCCTTGAGTTTAGCAGGCACTTCCTGTCCTATTGGAAATGAAAGTTAGAGATTCGGGGTGTGGTATGTGTGTATTTACGCTGCAGAATGTTGGTACTGTTTGTCCCTTTATTATAGCAAAAAGGTGACAGGAGAACTAGAATAGAGACTGGGACTTCATCTCAGGGAGGGTTTGGTCTTAATGTTTGTTGTGGCAAAGCAGACAGGTTAATTTATTTCTTAGAATATCCACTGTGACAGTGAGGGGGCCTTAAGAAGGGATTTGAAAGCTTTCATCCTATATCCCTGTTCCACTTGGACTAGATTGGTAAATTACTGGATAGCGTTCTTAAATTTTTGGTTTCCTACAAGTTTATTTTATTGTTAAGTCACCTTCTACAGCACATTCCTTTGGTACTATTAGAGGTAAGTGTTGCAAGTGTGTTAAATTTTTGACTCTTAAGTTAATGTTCCTTTCCTCCTAAGATCTTTGTGTTTTTCTTCTCTGTGAAGTATGTCTTTTTTTTTTTTTGAAGTATGTCTTTATTTAAAATATTTATTTATTTATTTTTCTGCAGTTTAGAGACAACTTGAAGCAAACATCCCAACTCTGTGAACTTCACCTCGGGCATAAACTTCAGATTGGGTGAGTAATCGTTTCAGTTTCATGGACCTTGAAGCTCGGAATAGTGGGATGAAGATTCATATAAGGTAGCTAACAATTGTCAAAGAAATCACCAGGCAATTATGTCTCAGTAAAGCTGGGGAAAAGAATAAAGAAAGCAGTAAGCATCAAGTTTCATGACATAGTCCAGTTTGAAAAATCCTTTTTGAAGTCACACCTGGGGGAATCTGAAAGGATTAAGAAGCATCAGCCCATTAGCGTGACCCAAGAGGAATAAAACTGTCGGAAGGTCTGAAACTAGTTATTTCCCATCCTCTGTTTTGCTTGTCTCTGCTCTTAGGTGAGCTTTTTGTTTGTTGTTCTGTGTGTTAAGCTCGCTGTAAATACAGAGGGGGATGGGGGGGAGGGGGGCTGAGCTTGTCTTCTTCGCATGTTGTCCAGGCAGTGTCCCTTTAAAATCAAGCCTGGAATCCTACAGCTGAGATCTAAGGAGAAAATGTCCTCTTTTTTTCCATAAGAATCTGAACTTGTACAAAATAAATAGGGAAGGGGATAGAGTTGAAAGAGGTAGACCTAAAAACTTCTTTTTGGTCTCACTGCTCAGCCTATGAAAAATTAAAAAATAACATCTTGGGCATTAGGACCCAGTGGAAGAGCCTCACTCAGACTGGGGTTAACTTCCATCAGTGACGTGAAGGCGCAGCCCTGGCTCATTCTTCACTCCCCCTCCTCCCTTCTCCCTCTCCCTTCTCTTCCTCCCTCCCTCCCTCCTTCTCTCTCTTCTTTCCTCTCCCTCTCCCTCTCCCTCTTTCTCTCCTAGCTTCCTGACATTAGAGAGAAAATGCTGCTATCAGTGGCGTCCAGGCCTGGGATTTCGACTTTTGGCTATAACAAGAACAACAAGAAGGTAGGGAAAAGTGCTTTTTTGGAATTCAGCTACTTCCTTTTCTGGGGATCGGGGAGTGCCCTTGGCTTTAACATTCTCCTTAAGAGGGGAACAGGCTTCCTCTACTCTCAGCTCCTCTCTTTTTCCACCACTTTTTTTTTTTGTCATCTTTTCTTACCTGGTTCTGAAGTTCCAGGAATTTACAGTCCCTTACCTGAGGCCTGAGAAGGCAGTGGAATTAAAAACAAATCAAACTTTGGAAGTTCGGAGCTTTGTGAAGTTAGTTTGACTTCCTGCTGATGTATCCAGTTTTCACAGGGAAAATATGTCACCTCGAACCCTGGCCCCCAGCCTGCTCACTCCAAGGTTATTTCGTTGTTTTGATTAACTGCCTTCTCCTCCAGCCCACCTTCCTTCCTACCATTCCATCAGCGTTATCAGGTAGCTTGAATACAGTCAGTGAAATCACAGCTTCATCTGAGCACTGAGTCTACTCCTGGAGCTTAGATAGAGACCCTACTCCACCCAGCCTGCAGGCAAGGAGTTTTTAAGAGAAGACCTTGGGAATTAAGGCAGAAAGTTCTGGGCTTCTTTGGGGTCTGCTGCTCAGCTGGGGCTTCCTGCTCTGCAGATAGCCAGGCTCAGCAAGGAGCTTTGAAGCCTTTTTGATTAACCCACAGCTGCCAGAGAGTTGTGCGATGCTTGGGCACAGGGGCAGTCTGGGGAGAAGTATACAGTTGTGCCCACAGTTGCCAAGGAGTATCCCGGGCATTTTCTTGGCATTTCAGTGCACGCAGTGCTGATGAGGAGGAACTTTATGCTGAAGCAGAGAGAACCTTTACCTCTGTCTTGATTTTCTAGCTGTTCTTTGTAGAAAAAAGGTGCCATGTTGTATATTTTAGGATACTTTGCTCATTTGATGGATTGTTGGGGTGTGGGAAGGGGTTCTTGATACTTTCTTATACACCTAAGGAGACTGTTACAGGTGAACAAAGTATCTGATGAAGGCGCTGGGTAAATGTTTGGAACGGAAACACCGGGTGTTAGTTTATATGGCATTCTTTCTGTCATTGCTTCCCTGGCGCTCAGACAGTAAAGGATCTGCCCGCAGTGCAGGAGACCAGAGTTTGATCCTTGGATCGGGAAGATCCTCTGGAGAAGGGGATGGCAACCACTCCAGTGTTCTTGCCTGAGAATCCCATGGACAGGGGAGCCTGCTGGGCTGCAGTCCACTGGGTGGCAAAGCGTCGGACACGACTGAGCGGCTAACACACACACACTCTATTATGTCCTTAAGAAATATGGGTTCATGTGTTATCAATTTTACATACACACATAAATCAATAGGATTTTGACAGAGGGATCGCTCATCTGTCTTTATTCTCTTCAAATCTTGTGTAGTACTGTATAAAAGTTTTCCTTCCTAATTTTTTCCCTCCAGGTCTCTCAGATTACCCATTAAAATACAATAAAATGAATTCCAGAAATTGGTTTTTTCCTATTAGTACCCATGGATTTGATGCTATCTAAAATATTCTTGTTTCTTGGCTCTGTACTTCCTTTTCCCCTTGTTGTATAGGAGACATTTACCCAGCCCCTAAATCTAGGATATTGTAGGACAGGGGTCCCTAACCTCTGGGATCTAATGTCTGATGTCCTGAGGTGGAGCTGATGCAAGAGTAATAGAAATAAAGTGCACAATGAATGTAATGCTCCTGAAGCATCGGAAAACCATCCCACTCCAATCTGTGGAAAAATTGTCTTCCACAAAACCAGGCCCTGGTGCCAAAAAGGTTGGGGATCACTGGTGTAGGGGCGAGGGTTATTATTGTGGACTGGGATTCAAATATCATCTCTCTTTCTGATAACTTGTAAGGTTTGAGAAGCACATTAAGAAACCTGGGATGCGGTAGATCCATAATTAGGGTATTTATCTAATGTTTTTTGGGTCTTACAGGTCAGTGTCATGATGACATCACTTTGTGACTATGACGCCTTGTGTATATATATAGGTTTGTAGGTATTGGGCTTATTTAAATGAAGTGATGACTGTGTTACTGTTTGTCTTTTTGTTGGTATGTACAGCTCAATGTGTTCATTTTTTGAGAAGAATGTTTCGAGTGAATCTGATCATGTAATTTGGCTGTTTTATACCGAAGGTTAGTTTTTAAAATAAGTTGTTAGTTTTTAGTAATAAACATAAGACATATTTGTTTTTAAAATTTAAGCATCAAGAGGTATATAAAACAAAAAATCTTCCCTTCATGTCCTGAAGTTACTTACCTAAATCCCACCCATTAAGGGAAATAATTAGTAGCAGCTTGCTCTGTCTATTCTCCCAGACTTTTTTCAATGACAAGTTTTAATTTTGACAACTGCTTACTTGCCATTTCTATTAATAGCTAAGTTTGTCAGGTAGGACAAGTCTATGTAAAAAGTTTTGGAGATCTCTGGAACATTTAAAAAACTGAAATAACATTCTAAATTTCTGAAAAGGTACACATTATAAATATCTGCTTTTCTTTTCCATCATTTTGTTGTACCAAAATCTGTAAGTAAACAGATTTGTGGAGATCCGTTTTCTTTAAGGGGTATTTTTATATCATAATTTACTGTAGTTGTCACTTCGGGTTAGTGGAATAAAAATAATTTCTTGAGTGAGCTCAGTTTGAAAAGATTTATTTGTACGGCACTTTTGTAGCTTCATTAATTTTTATTTAATGTCTTTTAAGAGTGGAATTGTTTGGGGACTTTCCTGGCAGTGCAGTGGTGAGGACCCAGCGCTATTACTGCTGTGGCTAGGGTTCAGTCCCTGGTCAGGGAACTCAAGTCCTGTAAGTCCTGCAATTCGGCAAAAGAAAAAAAAGAGGATTGTTTTATTTTGGAACATATTTGTATATTTTATCACAGAAGTTGTTTCCTGAGGAGCCAAGGACAATTACAGTTTTCTTATTCTTTCTTGGCTGTTGTAAATATAGGTATACAATCACCAAGTGTATAATGCCTGATAAAGGCATGCACATTCTTTCTCGGGACCTAGTGTTGAATATCCATTCTCTTTCATGGAACTAAATAATCACAAGGGCTTCCCTGGTGGCTCAGTGGTAAAGTGTCTGCCTGCCAGTTCAGGAGACACTGGTTTGATCCCTGGGTCAGGAAGATCCCCTGGAGAAGGAAATGGCAACCCACTCCAGTATCCTTACCTGGAGCATTCTAAATCACAGAAAGGAGAGAATGTGAATTTCAAAGAGACATTCTGAAAAATGATGGTATTAAAAAAAATCTATCTTAATTATTCTTAGTTCTTAAAGAAAAAAAGACAAGACTAAAGGTGAAAAGATTAGAGTTCTAAGGTCTCAGCACCTCCTTCAGCTTCTGAAAGATTTGTGTATAGGTGAGTCTGAAAGAGGAAGTGTTTGTGAGTAAAGGAATTTCAGACTCGTAAAGAGCCTAACCACGCCTTCCCTGACATCATCCTCCTGGCATGTGTTATTACAAGTTAACTCCTCAGAGCATCAACAACCATTCCCTTTGGAAAAAAAGAAAAGAGACTTTGTTTAACTTGGGACAGTTTGCCTTCCCTGACCTATTTTGCATAAATTTCTATTTCTTCTTGATCTTAACGTATTGAAGGCCATATTGGGGTGGGGAGTTGCAGGGAGTGGGGTGGGGTGGAGGAGCAGAGGCAATGAGGAGTAGCAGTGGCTGGTAGGCATTGCCAGATTTTCACTCTTTGAGAAATTTGAGTCACCTGAAGTTTTTGGCAGAGTTTACCCAGGAGAGCAGACAGTGGGAAGTGACACTAGGGTTGTTTATACTTCTAACAAGGAGAGAGGGGATTTCAGTGTGTTTGCTGCATTTTCATCGAGTTCCCATCAAATCAAATTCAGTAGAACTTTCATTTTTTCATTTTATTTTTTGGCCACACTGTGGCGTGTGGGGTCCTAGTTTTCCCCACCAAGGACTGAACCTGTGCCCCTTGCAGTAGAAGCTCGGAGTCCTAACCACGGGACTGCCAGAGAATTCCCTGGTGGAACTTTTAAAGTCCAACATCTCATGACCACTGGCAGCTATAGCTGTGTTATCGGTAATAAAGTGGACTCAGTCGCTTACAGTTTACTGGTGATGTCTCTCCATTGACTCCCCCTTTTTAGCTCTACTGTGCTAACTTAGGCTTCCCCTGTGGCTCAGAGGGTAAAGGCTCTGCCCGCGATGCGGGAGACCGGGCTTCGATCCCCGGGTTGGGAAGATCCCCTGGAGAAGGAAATGGCCACCCACTCCAGTACTCTTGCCTGGAGAATCCCCATGGGCAGAGGAGCCGGTGGGCTACAGTCCATGGGGTCGCAAAGAGTTGGACATGACTGAGCCACTTCACTTCACTTCACACTAACTTAGGCCCTTATTACCACAGTAATAAACATCCCACAGGATCTCCTGTCTCCGGTTTCTTCACTCCCTACCCCTTGTCCCCAAGTAATTTTATACCTGTTACCAGAATAATCTTCCAACATTCCAACAGTATAGTGCTGAGCATTTCTTGTCTAAAAACCTTTGATGGGTATATGTGTGTTAGTTGCTCAGTCATGTCTGACTCTCTGTGACCCCATGGGGTGATGCCTGCCAGACTTCTCCATCCATGTGATTTTCCATGCAAGAATACTGGAGTGGGTTGCCATTTCCTTCTCCAGGGGATCCTCGTGACCCAGGGATCAAACCTGGGTCTCCTGCATTGCTGGATGGGTGTATATTACCTGCTAAACCAAGTCCAAATCCTTAGGCCCGTGCACACTGTTTTCCTTCTCTTCCCCACCTCCCTTGCATGCTTTCATTACACCGACTCTGCTTGAACCAGTTGTGTTATCTGCAGTTCTCTGGCAATACTCTTTGGTTGTTGGTATGCATTTCTAATCTCCTAAGAAAATATGCTGTAAGACAGAAAAATATAGAAAAGAAACAAGACAGGAGAAAATATAAATCAGAATAAGAAGTCAGGGACTTTCCCTGTGGACCAGTGGTTAAGG